GGGGAGGGAGGGAAGGATGAGACGGGAGGTGAGAGGTAAAGGGAGGGGTAGCAGAAGGAGAGAAAAATTAGTTGGAGGTTGAAGCGGTTTCGCTATGTCTATCAAATGTCTCTCTGAGTCTAAGTCTTTCTATTTCCCTCTTTGTGTCTTTCACTTCTTTCTTTCTCTCTCTGTCATCTTTCTTTCCACTTTCTTTTTTTTCTCTCTGTCTCTCTTTCTTTCTTTCTTTATCTCTCTCTCTCTCTCTCTCTCACTCTCTCAACTCTCGTCTCTCTCTCACTCTCACTCTCACTCTCACTCTCTCTCTCTCTCTCTCTCTCCCTCTCCCTCGTCCCTCTCCCACCCCCCTCACCCTTCCATCACCCTCACCCCTCCTCACCCTCCGCTCCATCTGCCTCCCCCTCCACATCCCCTTCCCCCCCTCCACCCTCCACCCTCCTCCATCATCCCCCACCCTCACCTCCCTCCCGCCCACCCCCTCACCCTCACCTCCCTCTCCCCCCCCCTCCACCCTTCCTCCCCCCAGCAACCCTCTCCCTCTTCCCTCTCTCAGCTTACCAGCGGGAACACAAATGGTGGAGAACTTGGCCCTGGGGCGCCGGGGGGACCCCAAGTGGGAGAGCAGGCTGTTCATGGACGGAACAACAACACCCTGTGGAGAGGAGCTTGAGCATGTCCTGAACAATTCCAAGCTTCATTTCAGAGATTTGAGAATGACTATGCAAATATTATATATTATGTGGGGATGGGCTGGGGTTGTGTGTGTGGGGGTGGGTGTGGGGGGTTGTGTGTGTGTGTGGTGGGGTGGGCCCCTTTTCACTTCTCTTACTCCTCCCACCGTTTCTCTGCTCTTTCCCCTCCTGCTTCCTCAGTTTTCCCTTTGCCCTCTTCTCCCTCGTTCCTCCCCCCCTCACCTCCCTTCTGCATTCCTTCTCTTCCCTGTCATCTCCCCCCTCGTGGTCCCCCTTCCTTTCTCCGCCTGTTTCATCTATCCCCTGCCCTATCTTCCCCTCTCTTCCTTCCGCTTCTCCTTTTCTTCCTCTTTTTCTTCTCCATTCCCTTCTTTTTTCTTACTCCCTTGCCTTCACTTCCCTTTCCCTTATTTCTCTCTCCCTTTTCTTCCCTTCTCCTTCTTCCTCCTTCCACTCTTCTTTTCCCCTTTCCCCTCTTTCTCTACCTTCTCTTTCTGTCTCCCCACTCTCCTTCTTCTTCTCCCTTTCCACTTCTCTTCCCCCTACACCCCCCTCCTTTCCCCCTCCCCTATCCCCTCTCTTTCCTCTCCCTTTCTTCCTCTCTTCCATCTCTTTCCTCCTCCTCCTCCATCTCTTTCCCTTCTTCCACTTTCTCCTTCTTCCACCTAACCCTCCCCCTCCCCATCTCTTCCTCTCCCTTCTCTCCCCTCCCCTACCCTCTTCTCTTTCCACCATCTCCCTTCCCTCCCCTCCCTCGCCCCCCATCCCTTCCCTTTCCCCTCCCTTTCTCCCTCACCCCTCCCTTCTTCCATTACCCTCTACCTTCTCCCTCCTCCTTCCCCTCCCTCGCCTGTCCCTCTCCTTTTCTCCCTCCTTACTCCCTCCCTCCCTCCCCTTCCCTCCCTCTCCCCCACCTCCCCTCCCGCTTTCCTCCCTCTCCTCCCCCTCCCCCCATCTCCCCCCACTCCCCATCCTCCTCCCCCTCTCCCTCTCCCTCCCCTCCCTCCCCCACCCCCACCTCCTCCCTCCCTTCCCCCACCCCACCCCCTCCCCCCCCCCCCTCTCCCTACCTCCCCCCCCTCCCTCCTCCCCCCCCCCATCCTTACCACACGGCGCCCACGAGTACCCTCACGCCCACGAACAGCGCCGTGGAGAGCCTGGCAGCGGCGGGCGCGAGGAGGGTGAGGGCGGCGCTGAGGCGATCCCCACCCCGAACACGGACCCCCCCCAGCCGCTCCCGCCGCCCGCCCGCCCCGCACGTTGGTGACCACGTAGCCGTAGAAGTAGCTGCCAGGACGAGCCTGCGTTCGCTCGTCCCACGCGAATTCTCCGCTCTGGTGGGGGGGGGGATAGGAAGGAGGGAGGAGGGAGGAGAATGGGTAGGGAGGGGAGGGAAGGGGGAGGATGGAAGAGGGTGAGAGAGTTAGGGGAGGGAAGGTGGAAAGGGGAGGGGGAGAGGGGGGAGGAGGGGGAGAATGGGGGGAATGGGGGAGGGGAAGGTGGAGAGGGTGAGGGGTGAAGTGGGGGAGAAGGGGTGGGAATGGTAGGGGAGAGGTGGGGGTGGGGAATGGGGGAAAGGGATGGTGGGAAGAGGGAAGGGAGAGAGAGGGGAGAGGAAGAGGAGAAAAGAACAAAGAATTAGAAAAAAAAGAGCTAAAGAGCAAAACAAAAGAAAAAAAAAAAAATTAATCACCCTCCACCAACGAAATCAAAAAACAACACCCAACAACCACAATATAATCCACACACACAAAGAATTAAAAAAAAAAAATAGATAAATAAAATAAAATAAAAGAAAATAAAAAATAAAAAAATTAAAAAAATTAAATAAATATAAAGAATTAAAAAAATAAATAAAATAAATAAATAAAAAGATCGACCTTACCCCCCCACTCCCGACAGCTCCCTCCGCTGCCTCCTCTCCGCCGGGACAAACCTCCACCGCGTCTGTGCCATTCCCTCCTTTCGCTTCTGCTGCCACCGTCGTCGGCTGAACCATGGCAACGATGGCGACGGACAAGCTGACACGTACAGCCGATGCCAGCGCGAATGACAAAAAGCCGACCAGTGCCAGCGTGTGTCTGACATGCCACCGGAAACCCACAGCCGCACCTTCAGAAGACACGGAAAGGGGTGTCTAAGCTCTGTGTGTTCATTCATGTACGTTCATTCATAATCAAAGGCATAGTAATTGAACAGGTGCACATGCTGGTATACATTTACTATACAATAAACACACGAGAGAATAGATTCAAAATAAAATACACGAAAAACAAGAGAACAAATTAAGCAGACATGTAGCAATGAACAAAAACACAAACAAAATACAAAAAAACGCAGAATAAAAACACAGAATAGATTAAACAGACATGTAGCAATGAATTTACAAATAAAAACAAAATACAATATTAACAAAAAACAAACAAAAATAAAAACACAGAGATCAAACAAAAACAAGTAGCAATGAAAACAAAAACACAAACAAAATCCATAAAAACACAAGAGATCAAACTAAACTAAACAAGTAGCAACGAACAAACAAATAAACACAAACAAAATACAAAAAAAAAAACAGACACGCACGCACAAAACGCAAATTTTCTTACCCTCACACTTTGCGTTCGGGTTTGGCTCGGCCTTCGGTTCTCCTCCTGGCGCCCTCGCACGCTCATTATCGGCATTATCTGCAGTTCCTTCCTTCGTCTCCTGTGCATCCTGGAGGCTCGAGAAAGCCCGTGACTCGAGGGCGGTCTGTCGAGGGCTCTGAATCTGAAGGGCGGAGAGGGAGAAGTTTGACTAATTTATTGAGGTAATTAAAGGTCCTGTCTCACTGGCACTTTTTCCGCCAATTTTTTTTTTTTTTTTTTTTGGACAATTTTCTGAAATTTGGTCCGTTTTTGAGCGAGTTGTCGATTCTCCAGTCAGATGATAATGATCGTTTCCGTCTGAAAACCTTTCCGTCAACTTTTTTTCAGCCAAGCAAAGTCAGATCAAGAGCTATATTCGAGAATGTTTGTATTCATGTTAAATAAAATTGACGGAAAAAAGTGCTAGTGTGACACGGCCTTTGATGTTACTTTCATGATTCTAGAAAAAGAAAAACCTTCACTTACCATTCAACTTTTCAGAATTAACAGATAAAGATAATAGCGTATCCTATCCTATTCTATATCCTCTATATTAACAACACTAATAGCAATAATGACAGTGATAATGAGGATAATCATAAAAAAATGAATCAATATTACTACTAATAATTACTAAAAATATACAATATTATTTCTAATAATTACTAAAAATATACAATGTTATTACTAATAATTACTAAAAATATACAATATTACTACTAATAATGATAATAATAAAAACAATACTAATAATATAATAATAACAATACCAAGAGCAATAATGACTATGATAATAATGATAATGAAAAAAAAAATAATAATAATAATAAATCATTTGTGCTGTTCCATTTCTAGAAACCAATGGAAAACCACACGCATATGCTATCTTCGTTCTAAACGTCAAGTCTCTCGTAGCTTTCTCCCTTACACGGTAAATAAGATGATAAATAAAGCCACAAGACTCCTTTACGGTATCTGGTACCATCGAAAAACATTTAAGCAGGTACAGTTGCGGAATTATATTTCAGTACACTTTCTGGGTCCCACTTTTGTACCTCTGGCAACAAGTCGAAGTAAACATAGCGTAAATAGTATTTTTGTGAATGATGCTAAAACCCTAGGTAGTTTGTAACAAAGAGTGTGATTGGTGGAAAATAAGTAACCAATAAGTGTATTAATGAATATTTTTAAAAATAAGTAAGCCATTTGATCTTTCGCTTTCTTCTAATAAGTGATAAAGAATAAAGCATGTAATATTAGTTATCGTTGACTTTGTAGTTGGATATTCTTCAAATGCGATATCCTGGAATTGTTTGCTTATCCAAATGGCAACATCTATGATAGGGAGGCGGCATTTCCTACTCCTTACAGCATAAGAAGTATCTTTTATAGATACATATTTCTTAAAACATGAAAAAGTTTCATGCTTTGAACATTTATGTATGGTAACTAAATCACTTAAAACTCTGTAAAATCCCTGAGACCTCTGTAAATACCGTTGATACTTGCACCATCTAGTAATCGACCTACTGATCTTTTTAAAAATCTTTATGTCTGAATCAAACACATATTGAATAAACAGAAACCGTGCTAAATTAGATTTTTTTTTTAATACAGAGCATGAACAAAATCACAATTAGGTTACACTGAATATGTAGATTCGTTATTGATGTGTGTGTGTATCGTCTATGGAAATATGAAGTCATGCTTGGTAATGAGTTACTAGAGTGTATAATCAGCCATTATTATGCATTGAGTTTTGGCATTGAAGAGTTGTATCCACATTCGAAGAGGTGAGCGAGAAAGTGCATGTTTGCTTGTTTCAACTCGAGCAACTATTAGCTGGGTGGTTCCAAGGAGGGTGAATAGCAAAAATCTTAGAACCAACTCCCAATACTTGTGTTGTATATCTTGTTCATTCTAATGAAATGGGAATTTCTCGGTCAGTTATTGTCATCTATCCATTTTATTTGTATTTGCCAGTGCAATGTAGTGCAATATATGCGGAGGTGTAGATGATATTAGCATATCAAACCTTTACATCAAATTCATTCTCTTTATACATTATCCTAGAAGTAATAATTTCAAGTGTAGAAAATAACACGGTCGTATATTTCATATCTTTCATGACGATGAATATTCATCAATTCCTGAATATCCACTTCGCTGAAAAAATACATGTCCGATGGTCTTAGACGTCATAATAACATGAGAAATCCGAGGTCAAAGCGAGGTTTCCAAGCTGACACCTTTTTCAGGATGGACGCAAAAAAACCTGTAATCTGAACATGGCTGCTACAATGGGGTGGTATAGCTCAGTGGTAGAGCGCTGGCTTTGCAATCGCATGGTCCTGGGTTCGCGTCCGGCTGCCCCTCTCAGTCGACTCAGCTGTGAATGAGCACTGGTATGATGACGTCAGCATGCTAGGGTCAAAGTCGGGGCAGAAAGGAACAGGTCACCCTACCGCATCATCCCGCGGCTTAGTAAGCATGTTTCTCTACAAAACATGTCCCTTACGTCCAGATGGATATGGGACCAACTTTGACTTTTGACAATGGGTTGAGGGAAAGTAACTTCTCCAACGGTGATATATTCGGAGAGCTGCGCATCTCCCGGACGATGGCGTACAGGCAGATAGGGGGGGAAGAGGAGGGCACCTATAACGAGGAAAATACACCGGGAATACACGGAAAGCTCCATTGCTGAAGGGAATTTCAGAAAATTCAGAATTTATTTCAATTTACTGTATAAATATTTGCTTATACAAAACAGTGCCCTACACGTCATATTTCATGTTCAGATTCTATATCATTATTTACATTTCACATATGGCAGACAAATTATCCATAAAACGGCGAGCAGCGGCCGCGTGACCTGCGATATGTGAGGGTGGATCTCCCTACATGACGTTGGCGAAACGGGGAAAATGCCTCAGACAAATATATCGAATTGTTAAAAAAAAAAAATCCTCCCACCAGTACACGGTTATGCCTTGGCCCTTCCCAGAAACAATGAGGATAACTGCCCTATACACACGTCCAGGGCAGTTACGAAGTAGTTCCCTACCTATCACCACGTGGAAGTCCTTCGACGGCCAAGCGAGGGATGTCGCTCAACCCGACGAAAAATGTTTGGCTGAATATTGTCAATGTTTGAGAAACGGCTGATGAAACGCCCTCGAATCAGCTGATAGAAATCGAGACGTTACATGTGAACACGTGACCTCTGTCTCAGGGATTAGACACCGTTTGAATAACAATACATATTTCCTATTATAAGCATTACTGTTTGTCTTCCCTTTCTACAGTTATTACCATTTTTAGTAAAAGTATTTCCAAAATTAATAAACATCCCCATCATCTCTGAAAAAATAAAAATAATTATACATAATATAATATATATATATATATATATATATATATATATATATATATATAATATGTGTGTGGTGTGTGTGTGTGTGTGTGTGTGTGTGTGTGTGTGTGTGTGTGTGTGTGTGTGTGTCTTAGTTATTAACTACATGGCATGGCGATTTGTGTGAGAAGGGGTTCAAAATGTATATGGAATATAAATCAAAAGATTCTAACTAAAGCGTTAAAAAATGTAAAATTGCAGTTCTTTCACACACAATACATACACACATTGTTGAGGCCTGGTTAACCCGACCACGGTTTTGCGTTCAGTTAATATTCTAAAATAATTATAATTGTCTGTTTATTGAATCCGTGCCTAGATCTGACCTATTAGTTCACAGTGAAAATTACATATAAAAACTTTGATTTTATTTTGCGATAAAAGACAAGAATGTCATTTTTTTTCACACATACACATACACTGTAAACAAGCGTGTATTGACAAAAAGAAGGAAAATAAAAAAAAATACATAAACAACAAATAAAAGTAAAGAGCAAGATTAACTGACATTTATCCAAACGACTTTTTTCTTCCAAAATATCAGATATACAGCTCCTGTAATGAGAGTCGGTTCTTTGAGAACCACCTAGCTTGCAGTTGCTTGATTTGAAACAAGCGAACTTGTATTTTCTCGCTCAACTGATCGAATGTGGATGCGCCTCTTTCTAAAAACGCCAAGACTTACGGAATAATAACAGAAAAAAAACTATGATCATATTTTAGCTCAAGATAAAGGACATTCTGAATAACCGAAACGAATTAAACATTTCATCATAACTCGTCACTAAGCAGTGACTTCGTATTTCCATGGACGCCACACACACACACACACACACACACACACACACCACACACACACACACACACACACACACACACACACACACACACACACACACACACACACACACACACACACACACACACACACGCACACACAATGATGAAGCATCTATGCATTCTGTAAAGAAGAATTTAATGTAGCATGATTTCTGTTTATTCAAATTGCCAAATGATATACGTATATCATTTTACTAGATCGATTATGGTGCAGCTACGAGAAGTATTTACAAAGATCTTTTGCACATTTTTGTTTGATTTTGCTGCTATACAGAGATATTTAAAGCATGAAGCTAAAATCATTGATACTTCTTGTGTTGGAAGAAGGGGGAAATCCCGCCTCCACACCATGAGTGTTGCCATTTCGAAAACAAACATTTAGAGGATATCGCATTTGAGGAATATCCAACTACAAAATCAACGATACCTAGTATTACATATTTTGTGATCACTTATTTGAAGAAAACGTAAGATTAAGGGGCTTACTTAGTTTTTAAAAATATTCATTAATATACTCATTGGTTATTTACATTCGATCAATCACACTCATTGTTACAAAAGGTTTAACCTTTACTACTTAGCCCTCTTAATCCCCAAAAACTGAAATAATTTTTCTCTATCAAAAAATGGCTGAAAACAACTCTTAGTTATCGTAAATAAATGAGGAGAATTTTTGGTTTTACTTCTGATTATAACAATAGAGAGTAAATTGTAGAGATAATCATGTGTCTTGCTATATCTAATATCTCACAATGCACTTTCATTGGCTAAAGTCGAATCCAAGGGTTGAAAATAAAGAGACAAAATAAATATATAAATAAATAAAATAATAATGATAATAAAAAAATAAAAAAGTGTTAAATAAGAGCGGTACGTAACCAGTGTTGCTATTCAAGTGATTTTCCCGCCAAATCTCGAGTTTTTGAATCCAAGGGTTGAAAATAAAGAGACAAAGGCATTTTCTCTCTCAAAAAAAGCCATCAGTAAGAAAATGAATAAATAAGATAAGTAAAAAAAAGAGGAAGTACGGGAAGTACTTGTGAATTACTCGTTAAATAAGAGCGATACTTAACCAGTGTTGCCATTCGTGATTTTCCCGCCAAATCTCGAGTTTTTGAATTATGATCGAGCGGGAATATCATTCAAAAGTTTGCTCTATATCTAACGATCTTTTACGTTCTAAATAACAAATCTACTTAAAAAAAAAAAAAAAACAGAAGAGCAGGCACGGATATGTTATTACGAACATACTGAAAAGATGTTTATAATATGCAATATCTACGTAAAAACATGAATGGTACTAGCAAGAACCTTCATCAACAAGGGAAAACGAGAAATATACGAATTAGTGAGGATTTTAATACGAAAATCAACTTCATTCGTCTAGATATAATAGCCGCTGACAGATATAATAAAAACGGTAATAGTATCAATGATTAAGATAATAATATTGATAATATCGACAACAATGATAGTGACAAGGATTATAACAATGAAAATAATGATGATTTAAAAAAAAATAATGATAATGATGACCATGATAATAATTTTTAATATAATAGAATAATAATAACAGCAATGATGATGTAAAAATAATAACAGCAATATAGTTATAATGATAATAATACCAATAATCAATATAACAATAATAACTATAACAATAATGTGATTATGATAATGATAATATCTAATAATAATCATAATTTCAATAATGATTAGGATAAGAATAATAATAACAATAATAGCATTTACAATTATCATAATAATAACGGAAATAAAAATAATGATAACAATAATAGCTATAATAATAGTGATATAAAAAATAATAAGAACAAGCAGAGAACAAATAATAATTATATTCATAATTGCGATAATGGTCATAATGATCATTATTACCATTATTTTAATTGTTACAATTATCATCATTATGATTTTGATTATGATCTTTATTATTATCATTATCCTTTTCATTATCATTATTGATAGTGATATTATCATTATTATCAAAATATCATTTTACCGATAATTATCATCATCATCATCATCATCATTATCATTATTTTCATTATATTATCATCATTATTATTACTATCATTATTTTCATTAATATTATTATCATTATTATTATCATATTAATCATTACTGTAATTACCAAATAATAATAATACAAATAATAATTATGTCAACAATATCAGCACTACTAATGAGAATAAAGATGATAATACAAGTACAAATAATAATGATAATAATAATAATGGT